ATGGGAGTCCAACGACATAGCCATTACGCCAACTGCTGGCCCCGCCATTATTATTTATTTATTTTGAGAGAAGTTTTTGCTATAGGGTGCATGCACTTGCCAGAGAGACAGAGATATACGGAGAGACAGAAAGTGAGAAATCACCCCTTGGATGGGGGTGGGGGGATGGCCATGCCATAATCCCTGCTCCTCCATCCTCTTCTCAGGATCTTGGGCACACTTGCACACACACCCAGTGTGAGTTTCAAGCTGCTGGGTCCAGGATTTAAGTTACAGTCAGCCACGTGGAAGTCCAGCGCCTTAACCACCATGCCACCTGCTGGCCCCATTACTATTTATTGACAGCTTTATTACTGCTCATTCTGTGCCAGCATTGTGTCAAGTGTCTCCAGAAGGACTAACTCTTTTTTTTTTTAAATTTTTTCTATGAGGCATGTGTGATTGGCAGAGAGAGAGAGAGAGAGAGGGAGAGAGAAAGGGAGAAAGCACCTTCCAGGGGGATGTCACTCTGTTATCCTGTGTCCCCCAGTCTCATCTCAGGATTTTGAGCACACAGAAACATGTACATGGCCTGGCAGGTTTTTCAAGCTCCTGGATCCAGGACTCAAACCTCACAATCAGCCATGTAAGATCCAGCCACCTCAACTACCATGCCACCAGCTAGCCCACTAACTCATTTAATCCTCACAGCCATGCCATGAAGTAGCCCTTATAATAGACGAGGACACCGAGGCACAGAAAGTCTAAGCCACTGGCTGACAGTCACATTAAGTACACTGTGGAGCTGGGCCACGAACCCAGGCTGCCTGGATCCAGAGCCTGCACTGTCACCCGCCAAGATCCACAGCCTCCAGCACTACTGTTCTCTGGAAGAATGTCCCCTTTGCTTGTACAAACCCAGGAGAACTCCGGGGGCAGAGGATGGAGCAGCGGTCGAGTCCAGCAGGGTAAACTCCAGGGGCGAGAAAAATGTTCTTACCCTGACGTGGGTTACTGCCTAGGACAGGAATTGGGGCCATCCCAGCTCCGCCTCCACCCACTAACACTGTGAACACTGGAAACCTGCCGGAGTTGAGAGCAGCCTTTCTCGAAGGGTCAGCAGAGGGGGCTCCGCCAGGTGAAGCAGCCAGGGGTGTCGTAGGCATTGGCTACTGTGTGACCTTCGCGGTGGCTGTGGATGTGTAGGTGTGTGTGGGCAGGGGATGGTGTCTAGGCAGCTGCACGGTGGGACTCTGCCTTCCTCCGTGTCTGTCTGTCTCCGTGGCCAGGCAGCATGGGGGTGCACATTTTCTTCTGTCATCCACTGCATGTGTGACCCTGGGAAAATGACTCACCTCTTTGCCCCTCAGTTTCTTTTTGTTAAAGAATTATTTATTGAATTTTAGTCCTCATTCTCGTCGTTATTACTATTACTAAAATTTGCTATAGGGCACGCGTGCTCACCGGAGAGAGTCAGAGAGAGAGAGAGAAAGTAGGCTACCAGGTCCTGGACTCGAACCCTGATCAGCCATGTCGGAGTCCAGCACCCCCCCCAGCACCACCTGCTGGTCCCTTGCCTCAGCTTCTTTATATAAAAATGGGGATGACGAGAGTGATAGGGTTGTTCCGATCACTCCTGACCTCGGCCTTCTGGCCCAGATCAAGTGTACTAATAGGGCTGATCTGAGGGTTAGATGAGTTCATGACAGAAAGTGCGCAGCGGTGCTCGGCACTTGTGAGAGCATAGCTGATCCGAGGGGTCTCCAAAACGTTCATGAAAAGTACACATCACCCCCAAAAAGCGTGCAGGAATTTCAAGATGTTTTCGTGCCCCAATAAACTCGCACTTCAGTTCCATTTTTCTGTAAATTGGAGTCTCCTCGTACATAACAGCTTACATGAACTGGGTCGTCAGAAAAGTCACGAGCCATTGTTGCATAGAAACATACCATGACTTTTCCAGCGACCCTACATCAGTGAGGACGACATAGGTGAAGGGCGG